ATGACTTCTTCGAGGAAGTCTTGCCTCCCGCTGTCCGATCCCGACGTAGCCCGAATCGTCAGGTCGTCCACATAGAGTGGCATAGAGTGTATGCTTCATCCGGGGAATCCGTTCCAGTAGAGGAGGCGGCTTGCACATCGCCAGGTAACAAGGTGGGTGACAGGACCGAGCCTTGCCGGTTGCCCTTGCTCGGTATCGGGATGGTGCTTGTGCGGATGGACTCGATTCCGATGGTGGCCATCCAGTTGCTCAGGAAGTCCCGCACATAATCATACATCCGGGGCCCGCACCCAGTTGAGGCCAAGTTCTCGAACACCAGCGTGTGACTGACGTTGTCAAAGGCGCCCTTTATATCCAGGGCCAGGACCGCCCGCGTTGTCGTACAGGAGATTCTGTCAAGGATATCCTTGATCTGAAGCAGGACATCCTGCGTGGAGGTGTGACCAGAACCCGAAAATGGTGTTCATGGTGGCATTGAGTTCAATACAGGATGGTCCCCTCAAATATCGCTGTAAACAGCTCATCAGGGCATGGGCATTTAAAAAACTGAAATGGAGTGTCCAGGTCTGTGACGCTCGGCGGTATACCTGATAACCTCTATTTCTTTTGGATCCTTTTCAAGGGAGTATATTTTCCATTTCGGGGCACTTTTCTTGTTTCTGGCACTTACTACTGCAGGAACTGTTTCACCCTCACTTTCTTCTTTGCTTTCACAGCACTCATTTGATGTTAATGTGGAAGGGAATTGGCCGGATTCCACTCTTCGTTCCTACGTAAAATGTGCTGGCGTCCAATACCTGCCACAAAAAGGGTACTTAAGATTCCAAAAATGACTAAGAGTGTGTAAACATAAGATGCCAGCATTTCTTTTTCTTTTTATTTCCAATGAGCAACATTATATTATGCCAAAACTCTCCCTAAATGCACACTGCATTTCACAGCGCGCTAAACTCTGCCGGAAAAATCGGCGCCTGCACGCAAAGGGGCGTCGTTTCCTCAGCAGTGTATTTTACCTTGTGAAATTTTAAGGCGCTCCTTTCTTTTGCAGCTAAAACATCCTTAAAAATACTAAAAATGCGTTCGCCACGGACGACCGAGTCTTCCGCTGGCAAACGCTGTCGTTTGCGTACGATACGCCTTGAAATTTTCACCCCATGGTCGATCAGGCGCCGATTTTTCCGGTTGCTTTCCCATACCTTGAGCCACCCAGAAACACCGCGCGCCCCCGTAAATAAAAAAAAAATAAAAAAAAGAATGGAACGGCATTGAGTGTTTTGTTTACTTACCGACTTTGTGCGTGGACCGCGCCACGTTGCGCTGCCTGATGCACCCGCGTTTTGGAACTAATTCAGTTGACAGTTCCCTCCGAAGATGAAGCCACTGAAGCCACGGCGGTAATCGTACTGGTAGGCTGTTCCCTTTCGAACGGGCGGAAGAAGACTACGAAGAATTCGGCAGCGAACGGGCGGAAACTCGATTACGTACAGCTTCAGTAGTCGACGCTTTGTTTTCTCGATTGCGTTCGCGGCGTTCACCGTGGACTCGCGCACTCGGCCGTAGCCGAACCAGCCGAACGGCCGAACCAGCTGGACGGCTGCCGGCGCGCGTACCGACAGCGTCGCCATAGCAACCACGCCGCGAGTGTGGTTGCCAGACAGAATTCACACGATTTTTTTTTCCTCGTCACTCACGTTGAGTTACTAGAAGTTAGGCGCGTATCATTATAATATATTATGCTGTAAGAAGTTATTAAGGGATATGTGTACCTACCTAAGACAAATGCAGAAAAAATATTATTGAAAAATAAAATTGGCGTAATCTTTTCATATCTTGATTAAGACTAGCGTGGTCACTGGGCTAACCGATGCGCGAAATAGGAGGGCATATATACCGCTCGGGGCAGTTGTCGGTTTGTATATCAGTGCTTGTAGGCGTGTGTGTATGTACAGTGTTGTGTGTATGTCAATGTCGTGAGTGAATGTAACCGCGCGGTGGGCAGCAAAAAAACTGCTGTTTTCTTTTTTCAAATGTTTATCACTTTTTGTTTTCGTCGCTAGATGGGGGTTGTCGCCGCCCAATTTGAAAAGTGTGGCGGTTGGTGATCTATAACTAGTGATGGGACGAATCTTTATCCGAATCGAGATTCGGAGCCGAATCTGGAGATTCGGAAAGATTCGGAAGAGTAGCCGAATCTCAAGTGAATCGGAAAAGTTCGGAAAGATTCGGAGCGTTGCCATGGTGGCCAGATCATGTTGATGAGTGTTTCAATTTTTGTAATATTAAAATCACTAAATTCTACAAAGTGTACAAAATAATATTGTAATATATTATCATCGTAATAAATAAAATGTCCCGCTTTGTTTATATTATTTTGGATGCTTGTCGAACGGTACCGCTGGTATCGCGGGAAAATTGGTTTCGGTTTCGGATTGCGACCAAAATAGGCATGCTTGGTGCACGTGGGAATACAAGTGCATGTTTTCATCGTCGCAAGAGATCGATGCCCTACGTGCTGTTCGGTACAGACACATTTTATGTCCATAATTACGGTTATACTGGCACACACCACACAAGTGAGTATGTTCGGATCGATTATCGCCAACGTGTGTCCACCGAGGTATTGTTATCGGAGCGCGGGAAACAGCCTGAAAGTCCTTGCGCCGTACTATTAATCTCCCGCACTGCATTTGGACATTTCCGGTTAATGATATCCGATTTAATAGTGTTTGTTTCCGCGTTAGACACCCCTGTGTTGTGTTTCTTTTTCACCAAATAAAGTTCACGTAAGCAAAACTTGCTGCCGAGGACGGAACGTTTTTCTTCGCCACCGGTGCCGGTACGCGGTCGAAGTTGTGACGAGCAACATTCTTCTCGCTCTCGCGCCTTAGAGGTAGTGACATACGCAGCTCTAGAGAAGGAGACGTATCATTTCCTTGCCTGAATACATTTATTGTGCATTGCGCCACATTGTGTATAATACACAGCATTTCGCTACATTTTACCGGTCACCGCGAAACCGCACAGAAACTGAGACCGTGCATTGGTTAGGCCTACGTCAACCACACCGATCAGCTCAGCTGGATCTGGGCGTGTGCCAAGGTTTAGAATGACAGTACAGTACATACCATTACGTTGAAATAAACGAGACGAAATCTGGTTATATGTAATAACAGTGCCTAAAAAGAAACACAACTGAACGCGTTCGCGAGCTTTACGACAAGATTCACGCTGCCGTCTGCAACCAGCGACGAATCGGACGAATCTCCGAATCTGCCGAATATTCGTCGCGGGAAGTTCGGAAATTTCCGAATCTGTCCGAATCCGAATCTCCGGTGATTCGTCCCATCACTATCTATAACTATTAGAGGGCTGGATGCCATTAGTCCATCCGTCGTGTTGATCGCTCCGAGTTGTTCGGTTCCGCTGGCAGCTGTGTCGCCGTGTTATGCTGCCTGATTGCAACAAAAGGAGCTTAGGCGGCTTCCCCAGCGCGTGTTCTAGGTGCTGAATGCCGCTGTTCACGCACAAACGTTCATGAGTGGATAACGCATGTAACAGAGGTGAGCACTGGCAATAGTTAATCGAGAGCCGCACGGAGCGCGAGTGCGATACCTCCTAGCCGCTGTCGACAGAGGGTGTCGGAGCGATTCATTGTCAACTTGTCCACGGCAAGTGGGCGTTTTGTTCAATAAAGCCAGCCTGTCAGTGTTTTGTAAAGCTATCCCTTCTTTATAAGCGCTTCTGATGCGATGAAAATGCGACCGGCATTGAGCAGGTCGAGCGAGACTTCGGCGACAGTCTCGGCTGTTCAGTCTCCAGCGGTTTCGGCCTTACTCGTATTATTTGCGGTGTTGGCGCTTGGACATAGAGATGTTTGGAAAGTTTTTTGCGCCTACAGATGACACCAAACGAGCGTGCGAGCCGTATGCTCTTGCTCCGGCGAGAAGCCGCGTACGGCTCGCCAGGCTCGTATCGCCTGTCGCATACTGGCCGCCATATTGTTTTTAGGGTGTTAGCAGTTAACACGATTTTCACCACCTCCGGCGGCTAACACCCTTACACGAATAAAGGCGTTAGCCAGAGGACGAGCCATTTACACGAATAAGGGTGTAAAAATTTTAAGTGTGTACGGTGACAAAATTCGTAAAAGTTTACGAAATTCGTGTACATTTCCCTGTAGTCGGGGGTTCCCTGGGGTCTGTTTTTCTAGCGATTGAAGCATAACATGATCAGTGTTCGTTTTTTTCGAGTGAGGCGAGAGTGGTAAAACTTCAGAGTACCCTTACAATGAAGGACTCTAACGAAAGGATCGCTTCAATCGCGTGATGGAACGTTGATGCCGGTGGAATCGTTTTCCATATTTGACGAAGTGCGGTGAATACCAGTGGTATTATGGTTTTGAAAAACGATGTAGTACCTGTTTCCCCAGCCTGGTTTGGTGCCGAGGTACGCGAATCGGAAGGCGGGTGTGATGTCTTTGATGTTGTGTTTTTCCCAAAAAGATGGCTTCGTGCTTCTCTGAGTGCGGCTGTTGTAGTAATCGCTACAGCTCCAGGATCGTCGCTTTTGTTCTCCAGGTTCTTAAGAGGAGGGTACTCCTGAGCATTTAGTGACGGCACACTACTGGTGGTGATTCTGGACGCTGGTTTGCCACCTTCAGCCGTTTTTTTGTTTGCCTGACGTTTAGCGTGCACGGCATATTTTGCCTCGCGAAAAGTGGTGTTGTGTTGTAGCCGATACCTTGTAACTTCAGTCTCTCGTACCTTGACTGGGCACTCGGCTGAGTTAGAGGCGTGCTGTCCTTGACAGTTAACGCAGTTGGCATTGGCTTCACACGTGCCTTCGTGACGCAGTCCACATCGATAACACAATTGAAACTCTGCTGTGCACGCAGCTGCAATATGGCCGAACTTGTAACATCTGTAGCACTGCAAGGGGCGTGCTCGGTAGGGGATCACCTCAGTTCTTACAAGCCCCACTTTGACGTGTTGAGGAGCTACTTACCCTGTGAAGGCGACTCTCACTACGGGTGACGTCTTCCCAAGTCTCTTCACCTCTGCCACGCCAACGGAGGACTGCAGATGTGTTTTAATGTCGTCTTCTGTGCAGTCAGGGTCAATGTCTCGCAGAATGCCAAAACAGTTTGAGCGATCTCTCGGCAGAAAGGCGCTGACTGGTACTGTGCATAGCTTTGACAGCTTGAGAAGCTCCGCTTTAAAGAGAGGTCGCCTCACATCAACTGCGACAATGTTCCGAGCTTTGTTAATACGGACAACACTCACCATGCCTGGAGCAACGTTGTTCAGGTAGTCTGTAAGCTTGAGTTTGCTGAGCGACTCGATCTTGTGGTTCTCAGTCGGGATGAACAATACGGTGCATCCAACTTGTAGGTTGCCTTCATCCTTGAGAGATGAAGCATGACACCGTGGGTCCGTCTTACGCCTCTTCTTTCCCTGAGCAGTCTCGAATTCATCGTCGTCGGGCAGCATGTCGTCGTCATCGCAGGCAGACACGATTGTAGAGGAAGTGCAAGTCATTGCATCTGTAGTCGGTTCCTTGGGCGGAATTTGATAGCCGTTTTTGAAAGACGTCCCCGAATTTGCTATGTCTTGCAGGGCGGCGAGCACCAGTTGGTCTGTTGATCCAGGGTTCATTTTTGCAGGAAGCTTGGCCTCCCTGAAGGGGGCCCTTCGCGAAGAGAGGTCCGATACTTCTCTGCTGTTACGTAATCGGTGGATACGAAGTGCAGGCCCGCTATTTAGCAAATATTTGGTTATATCTCAGGGGACACAAATAGAATTACCAGAAGCAGTGTCGTCGTCGTCGTCTTTTTTCGAGCTGGCTACTGGTTGTAGTCTACATGCCCACCATTCCCCACTCAGCGGAACGTGAATGCATGTTCCATGCTGAACACTGCACTTGACAATGACAATGACAGTTTTATTGATCTGGGTACTTTTATCATGTTTACCTTTTGCGTACGACATGCAACTTAGAAATGCGAAGTTCATTGCTATGTTGACTGCATGTTTTACCTTACAACTTCAGTGTAGTTCGGCTGGAATCCTCCCTTTCACTAATTTAATGCCGGACGTATATCGACAACCCACAAATGTTTTCTTTTTTGGTCTCCTTTTTCTATATGGGATTAATTAAAAAATGAAAGCTGTTTACAACTCCCTGTAACGCAGAATTAGAGCGCAGCTCTTGAGGAAGAGGAGGGAAGGGTACTGAGGGTCATGTGTTCTCGGGGGGGGGGGGGGGGGGGTCATGTGACGTCGGGGGAGGGATCACGTGACCTCGGGGTAGGAGGGTCCATGGCGGGGTCATGTGGCCCCCAGAGAAATTTTCCCGCTAGATTTAGCGGAGAAAAGTTTCCGCTACATTTAGCGGGAAAAATTTTCCGCTAAATTTAGCTGGGAAAATTTTCCGCTAGATTTAGCGGGAAAAATTTTCTGCTAAATTTAGCGGGGAAATTTTTTCGCTAAATTTAGCGGGGAAATTTTTCCGCTAAATTTAGCGGGGAAAACTTTTCCATTAGATTTAGCGGGGAAATTTTTCCACTAGATTTAGCCGGGAAATTTTTTCGCTAAATTTAGCGGGGAAATTTTTCCGCTAGGTTTAGCGGGGAAATTTTTTTCCGCTAGATTTATCGGGGAAATTTTTCCGCTAGATTTAGCGGGGAAATTACCCATAATGCACCGCGTGGTTACGCTGACGGCGACGCCGCTCAAGCCGGAAACGGGCGCCTAAGAGCTACGCTCTAAAATGAAAGCCGTTCACAACTCCCTGTAATGCCGAATTAGAGCGCAGCTCTTGAGGAGGAGGAGGGAAGGGTACTGGGGGGGGGTTCACGTGACCTGGGTGTCACGTGACGATGACGATGCGGTGACGTCATCAGTGACGTCACTGATGACGTCATAAATGATGATGACAATGGCTATGCGGATGCTGGTGACGTCATCAGTGACGTCACTGATGACGTCATCAGTGATGATGACAATGACGATGCGGATGCCTGTGGAGATGACGTCAACTGGGGGGGGGTCACGTGACCTCGGGGGGTATCCCCAGGTCACCATCGTGACCCTCGTGAGGGTAACCCTAGCAACCCTTGTGAGGCAACTCTCGTGACCCTCGTGAGGGTAACCCTAGCAACCCTTGTGAGGCAACTCTCGTGACCCTCGTGAGGGTAACTCTTGTGACCCTCGTCAGGGTAAGTCTCATAACCCTCGTGATGGTAACTCTCATAACCCTCATGAGGGTAACCCTTTTGAGGGTAACTAACCCTCGTAACCCTCGTGAGGGTTACGAGGGTTAGTAACCCTCGTGATCCTCGTGAGGGTAACCCTCGTGAGAGTAACCCTCGTAACCCTCACGAGGGTTACGAGGATTATTCGCGGTTACGCCGACGCCGACAGCAAAGGCGACGCCGCTCAAGCCGGGAACAGGCGCCTAAGAGCTGCGCTCTAAAACATTTGATTTTGAATTCCCATATCAAGGTCGTGTGCCGATGTTTAAACTGGGTGGGCTTCTTTTTTTTTTCTTTTTAGCAGACACGTTGTTTAGTGAAGACATCGAAGACGGCGATAGCTGGAGCCTTGACCCATGTGCACATGACCCACTGCCACCTTCTGACAAACTTCGCAGGGAGAGCGCTTCTGACACCACGACTCGCGGGAGTGCGCACCGAGTTGCTCACTAAAACAATCCTTGGAGACCTCACGAAAAAAAAAAATTAAGAAAAGTATAGCGAAGCTACACGGGCTACATATAAAAGCAACGGCTAAACACGCCAATCACCAGCCGAAGCAGCGGCGGTAGCGCCTCAAAGAAGCGCACTTTACACTGCTTGACCGCGCAACGTGTACGCCCGCCCGGACCGGAGGAAAAAAAAAAAAAAAGAACGACTATGACGTCACGACCCAAAGTTGCTTTAGCAATCGGTGACCCGCTGGCGACCCGCTAAAGGTGTATCCACACGACGGACCAAATTGCTGTCTTGGTCCGCGGGTCGCGCACCACGTGATCTTACGTCACGGGTTTTCGAGGTCCGCCGGCGGTCCGCGGTCCGCGCTTCTGCGAAATGCCAAGCGACTTTTCTTGCCCGGACCTTGGCGGCGGACCGCGGCGTTTTTAGTATAATTGAAGCGCTAAGTCTGGCAACAAGCTGACTTTTGTTGTTTGGATTGGGATCCAAAGCCAAAGTCATTCTCTTTTGACGCCAACTGTTGAAGACGAAGAAGACGAACCTTTTGTTGTGCGACGATGCAACTTTTTACTTCATCGCGCTCATGGAGCAATTCCCCGCTCTGTGGGACAATAGTCGCGACGACTACTCAAATAATCATCTAAAGATGTCCCCATGGCTTTTTCGGTTCACTTAAGTCCTCCTCGTCCTCAATAGTCAACGCCAGGACCACCGCAGCCAAACGTCTCTTTCGTTCAATCTCCATCTTGGCTCCTTACAAATAGCCTCAAAGCAGCTCGCTGCATGCGTTTGGCGGAGTTGTGAGGTAGAGGGTTAGACCAGCCCGTTCGCTCTGTTGTCTGCTCTTTTGGTCCGCAGTGTGGATGCTCATTGCAGCCGGGCGGCCCGCGGTCCGCGCATCACGTGATCAATCGGTCCGCGGCCCGGTCCGTCGTGTGGATACACCTTAAGGTGTATCCACACGACGGACCGGGCCGCGGACCGATTAATCACGTGATGCGCGGGGTGTATCCACACGACGGACCGGGCCGCGGACCGATTGATCACGTGATGCGCGGCCCGCGGGCCGCCCGGCTGCAATGAGCATCCACACGGCTGCTCGCAGCGGGTCGCATTTTTATTATCGGCATTACTTGGGAATGCGGCGTCCCCTTGACGTAATATTTTGGCTGAGGCTGTATTTTGCGTTACTAAATCGATACCAGTAATTTATTTTCTTTTGAGTTTTGGCCGGAGTTGCCCTTAAGGGTGAACGCGGTGCAGTTTGGGCGAGGGTACTCAAGACTACAACCACAAGGGGGCACTTAGGCTTCGTCAGTGCCCCCTTTTGCTTTTGCTTGAGTGGTGACATCTATGCCATTTTTCCGCCCCAATCGTTTTTTTTCTGAATTATGAAGCGCGCGCATTCTAGTGTCACTCGATCAGCTCGAGCGCGTAGCTTTGGCTAATGTAGTGCCACTAAATAAGCTACGCTTCAGAGTAACGACACTTGGCCATATTGTGTCTTAAAATCAGAGTTGCCAGTTATCTGAAGCTTTATCTGACATCACAGGAAACGCTTTTCCGCCCTCCACAATTTTTTAAACAGTTCACGACAGAGCAAAGCAATATTACACGACCTTCCTAACACCGAATATAACGCTGAGAAACTCGCACTTTTGAATCATGACGATCGGCAGTTGCGTCTGCTCTGCATACCCCTACAAAAATATGTATGGACGTCCTATGTCCACACTTTTGCCGTTCTATTACCTCTTTGTCCATCCTATGCATTCCTGTAGACAGTTCTTAGACCGTCTATGTACCATTGGTTTGCCACAGAATGGACACAAAAACGCTATAGAGATCTTCGCGAAAGAAAAAGGTTTTCATTCCTTCCTATTACCGTTCTATGGTCCCGGTGAGTCTATGGTCATCCTATTGCCTCTCTATGGTGTGAGCTATATATTGGGGCATTAACAAAGTGATGCCGGGTAGACGTTTTCTTTAGGTGTAGTGAGGTGTCCGAGTTAAAGAGTTGTTAATTAAGTTCCGGGTATCAATATGTTACATTGATGTCTAGAGGCATATCCAACCTCAGGGTATACTCATTGTGGAGATGGAAGTGTTTAGTATGTGCCGGAATAATGTTTTTACTTTCTCAGTGGGAGGTAGGTGTATGTGGGTCGCTGCGGCCCCCGTAGATGCTCGCAACTTTCACAACCCATAGTGGGCGCACTGGTGCCTATCAAAATTGCGGTCATCTGGATGATCGTCTTTAAAAAGCGGTATACTAGGCTGAGTCTGCGCGCGACGCGTAAGTAATTGTAGTTTTGCTATATACGCGCAGTATCAGAGATTTACTTTATGTTTTTTTTTTCATGTCAGGAAAGTGTAGGCAAGCCATTTTATTATGATGCCAATCATCCAGGAGCTAGGGAGTGCGATTCTCACACCGCGGTACCACCATCGCTTAAAGTGGCTTCTTATGGACCCCGTAGGGACTCCGTGCAGGCCCTGTATTGCTTCTCTGCAGACTCCATGAGGAGCCCGTGTAGACCCTGTATGGCTTCCCTGTGGACCCTGTATGGCTTCCCTGTGAACCCCTTACGTACTCCCTATAGACCTTGTATGGCTTTTTTGCAGACCCCTAAGGACCCTACACTCTTTAAAATGACTTTTACAGAGCACGTTTTTGCGTAAAAACAAATAGGGAAAAGCTCTTTTTGTAGAACCCTTTATTGGAGATCAGTACAAACTGACAAGAGCGTGATGTTTGCATACACTTTTAGCTTACAGGGTTTTGCGGCACAATTAATATTTTTTTTTACAGCCATGCCTCACCGG